AATTGAAGCCAAGAATATTCCAGCGGTTACCCCCATTTGAATAGATGGCGGCCATGTTGGAGTTTCCCACTCGCTAATAAACGCTTAAAAAACAACAATAACTTTCATCATTTGCATAGTTTGAAAATATATTTGGAATAGGTTTAACTTAATGTTTAAGTCCCCTGTTTAAGAAATAGAAAACGTACGAATCTTTTCATTTAATTTCATGGGAACGATCTGAGACTGCAATCACGGCTTCAATTTTCGAATTGCAGAATAATTAGATGCACTATCTAGTGTAGATATCTATGATTCCTGCCAGGAACCTGTAGTTGTATTTTTTGCAACTATTCTCGGTTAGGTCTAAGAATGTTTGCTCGGAAAATTCCATTTGCTTAACAATAAAAGGATCTTACTTGATATGTTGATGACTGGATTTCTCATAGCGCAAGCCTTGTAAAATTTCTACAAGTGAACACAACATGAAATAATTATAGTTATTGGGACCCCTTGCCGCTGAGTTAAGCCATGCAGCGACCACATAGATGTTATATATTTCACAACCATCCTCAGAGATACGAAAAACCAGTTTCATATTAAATTGGATAAGACTCGCTACCAATCCCTGTTGACTCGATAGCTCAATGGGTAGAGCGGCGGTCTAGATACCCGAAGATGCGAGTTCAATTAATCCCGCTCGGCCAACGGATTTTTCGTTGGTCGATTGCAGTGTCAGAATAATATGAAACTGGTTTTCGTATCTCTGAGGATGGTTCTGAAATAGAATTGAAACACTGCGCGTCCTCTAAGACAAGCGTTAAGTCGTCACGAAAATATTTCGTGCACTTAAATTGGATAAGACTCGCTACCAATTCCCGTTGACTCGATAGCTCAATAGGTAGAGCGGCGGTCTATAGATACCCGAAGATGCGAGTTCAAATCCCGCTCGAGCCAACAAATGTTTCGTTGGTCGACTGCAGTGTCAGAATAATATGAAACATAGATTAATCTTAGCCCAGTTTCTCGGCCTTTTCGCTTCCATCTTGCTATTTTAGAGCGGTATTTTGACACGGTTTGCAGGTCGAGGGATTCAAAGGGCGGGAAGCGAGAAGGTCTAGCACAATGGGTGATTCCAGCTACAGTATAGACTACATTTTGATCAAGGCAAGAAGAATGAAATCCAACACCATGGCTAGAAAGAGCGTCTTAGAATGAGTAAAACTGCAAAGATTGGTTGCTAAATGTTGTAAAATGAAGAAAATATAGCCCTGTGAAGTTCGCAAATTTTGTGATATATTTGCATTACGCGCGGGAAAAATAACCATTTTTGAGCCGAATGTGAACAGGTTCAAAGTCGATAAGAGTTCGCAATTCGGTTGCTTTTATTCTGTTTTGAAATGATACCTACAGGATATTGGCCAATCAGCTGAGCGGATAAAAATCCCCCGTGCGAACCTCCGGTAATAAACACCCGATCCTGATCAAGGCTTTCAGATTTCAACACAGTCTCGGCAGCATACTACAAAAAGATTTGAGAGCCTATTTAACAATGTTATGTATACACGTAAAAATCTCACAACTTGTCAACAAGATGTGTTCGCAACAAGTTTGCAGCATGCTTTTATTTCATCAAGTTGCTACAAGGTTGTCACTCACAACTTCTTGACAAATTGTCGAATTGCAGGCCGATAACAAGTTGTTGGAACAACTTGTAACAAGTCTGTTGAGCTCAACAACCTTGTGGCAAGTTGTCAACAAGCTGGGAACAAGCAGTGCGAACACATCCTGTTGACAAGTTGTTGGAACAGCATTGCTACAAGTCTGCTGCAGGTTTGTTACAACTTGTGCGTTTTTACGCGTGTAGAACGACTTGAAATACACAGGGACGCCGGAGCGAGGGTAGGGCACAGGGGGGCAATGTTGACGTAAGGGCAATCACTAATTAATATTGCGTTTCCGAATTTTTTTCCGGGACCTTAGTTCACCAAAACACGGGCAAAAAATTTTGAAAATATAATTTTTGACACAATATTCCATATATTTCAATATTACGTACATTTCACCCGTAATTCATACTTTTTAATCGTTGTACCATATATTTTTTGGGTTAGAATTTTTATCTATAAGGGCACTTTTACCCCCCCCCTGCTCCCCTTACTAAAGGGCAAGGGGGGCGATGCCCCCTGCGCCCCCCTTTCCGGCGTCCCTGAAAATACATATTAACTACACCGCTACATGTACCTGTACATCCCTGACGTCCTGAGTGCCGATATTACCAGGTAGAGACAACACAGCACTTTGACCAAATCCTAAAGATCCTCTGTAATTCACTGCAAAACACATTGAAAAACATATCAGAGCTTCATTATAGTTTCGCCTCTCAGATCGTGGGTGCGATTCTCGCTGCGGATTCATGAAACTTATGCGAAAAGAGTCCTCCACAGGGAATGTTGACAGGGTGGGTTGGGATTATCTCCCTAACTGACCCTTCCACCGTAGGTGTACACCGTGAGCAAGACATGGGTCATAAGGTGGCTACCAGAGGCGCCCTTAGAAAACCTTCGACTCGATCTGGTTGAGCTGCATCCTTCGTAATTCAGCTTAGCTCTCAGCTGCAAGTAAGGATGATTATCACACCTGCACTAATTACTTACATTGTCAATAGAATAGTTTAGTTTTCGTTTAAATCGGGCGAGAGTCATACGTGCATACTCACCCAAAAGCACAGCGTATCCAAGCTGGCAGAACATTACCGGATTTAGCATGAAGTCCGCGACAATAACACTATGTGGGCCACCTGTGATAAAGTCATAACACATCTTAATTTGCATCATACTACACACGTGAAAATCTCACATCTTGTAGCAAGTTTGCCAACAAGCCGTCAACAAGTTGTGTTCGCACTGCTTGTCCCAAGTTGTCAACAAGTTTGGAACAAGCTGAAAACAGCTTGTAACAACCTTTTGATATTATCAGACTTGTTGCAAGGTTGTTCCAACAAGTCCGATACAGTCATGATATAACAATATTGTTACAACCTTGTGTCATCAACCTTGTAACATTCTTGTTATATCATGACTGTATCAGACTTGTTAGAACAACCTTGTAACAAGTCTGATAATGCCTTCAAGCTCGTTACAAGTTGTTAGCAGCTTGTTCCAAACTTGACACAACAACTGGGAACAAGCAGTGCGAACACAACTTGTCGGCAGCTTGTGTCTAACTTGTTCATGCATTTCGTTTGCAAATACGTAGTTTTCACTGCCGAGTGTCTCAGTGTCTATTAAC